CAGGGGAGAATATTTGCGCCTGTTATAGAAATATGTACGATGTTTGCTGAATCCTAATTTGGTAATGCCTTATTAGAGTGAGCATATAGCGGCGATATGCCATAACATGGTAACATTCGAATCAGCTCGAACATTTAAAAACTGGGCAGTGGGATTGGACAATCTATATCGGAATTGAAATCATAGAACATTATTATTATTAAACTAAATTAGTTATTATTAAATTGGTTTGATTTTTTTTCTAGAAATAAATAGAAAACAATATAATACATTGCCAAATAAATTGTAATGATCGTAACATGTGTGAAACTGCCCAACCAGAAATAACCACAGAACGCATACATACATCATATGTAATATAAATTATTGATTTTAAACACATGTATAATAGCAGAAATGTCAGTACATTGTAATCGGCCAGCAGGCAATAACGATCGTAAATGTATATATGGTAAATTTAAAGTAATTTATAACCGACACGCGACATGGCTTATCATGAAAGCAGTTCGAGTGTTCTTTCAGTCATGGATGACATTTGGGGCTAGATCGTGTATGTGCCCGCTTCATACAGCGTAATAGTGTCATTTCTCTGCAGTGTGTTTCTGTTATTCTGGCCTGACCACCTCGAAAGAATATAAATTGCCCGTCTCTTAGTTCGCACAACCCTAATGCGTACCATTACGCGGTCTTCTTATGTGGTATATATTTCACTCCTCCGAGACATTTCATGTTGTTCTTGAAGACGGAATATAGCATTCTATGGTGGTAGCCTTCCTTGGAACCAATGCCGTCCGTGTATCTATGCTGAACATACTCCCTAGTCCTTATTCTATCGTGGTAGAGTGTGACGTCATCGCACACGGCAATGCGCAACCTGCCCAGTGCATCGTAGTAGAACTCCATGTGACCGATGCGGTCTATGATAGGATCGAACCCAACTTCGCGAACGCGTGCCGTTTTCGCCATGAATATATTCCCGATCTCGTCGGCGAAATAACACTGCGGCATGCCGGATGGGCTATGATAGTGACGTGGATGGCGCCTGTATAAGCAAAACCCACTGTTGCTGTTGTTCCTTAGATAAATAGCCGGTGCGAACACGGAGTCATCGAGGTTGCCGTCCCTACTTTCAGTACGCCCGCCAAGAACATCCAGCGTCGGGTGAGATTGCATTCTAGTGAGCAGTTTATCGAGTTTCGTATTTTCAGTAAACACCATGTCATCATCGACGTAGAAAAAATACTCCGTCGCTACGAGACTGAGTCCAATGTTCCTCCCAGCAAACCATCCTTCCTTGTAAGGCATTTTAATGTGTTTCACGTTCCTGCCTTTTATGGGCCGCGGTGATTCGTTGTCATCCGCAACTATTATTGTCATATTGGGGTAGTATTTGTTGACACTAGCAACCAGCTGATTAACAGAGTCATATCGCAGAAATGTTTTGGTCACAACTGTTATCTTTTTATTTAAATTCTCACTGACGTCACTCTCCCATTCGTATAATTTTGGAAATGGATCTCTTCTAATAAGCAAATTAATGTGAACAGTCACGTGAAGGAATGTCACTTCTATGACATCTCGATCATCAACGGTAAACACGTTGCTATGATACGAGAGGTTGCTAAGCAACTGGTTCATGCTCCCTACAGAAAGAGATGAGTTTAACCTTAGCAATCCCGTGTCTTCTCCATCTACTTCAATCATGTTGTCAAACTGTTCGGGAATGTGCAGTTGAAGTGTTCCTAAAGATCGTTTCACTCTGAACGAGATTGTATAATAGGTGTTAGACAAGGCGTAAGACATTGATGGATGAATCGAAAGTCCCCGTATGGTCACCATACCCAGCGGCTCGACAGACAACCCACTTGCCATGTAGCCAAGCGGAGACATTGCGTCGCAGTGAACTTCTGGCTCTTTTGACAATTTCCGGATCTGGTTCGTTTTCTGAACAATCTCTTTCCGTCTCCCTGACGATACATAATCCAGTGGCCCGTACGAGCCCCGAGTACAGTAACACATTTTAGTTGGGTTAGCAGTACCTTCCGTTGGATTCACCCTGGATGAGCGTTGCGAGTCCTTTATCCACTTATTGAAGAAATGCTGACATTTGCTGATCGGGTCCACATCATCGTTACCTCTCACGTGTCGTTCAGAGCATTCGTTGCCATTCGCCAGGTTTATCAAATACCGTACACAGTTCAAACACAGAAATACAAAAATGGAAGACCGTAAAACGGATTTGAGAATCCAAGACAAACGCATAATTTATGTGCATACACTTCTTTCCAAACTTAGGCCTTGATTCAAAGTATTAATTATAAATAGTCAAATTTAGTTTTGTTTGATAAACTACTCTTGTGAAACGCTATTTTCATAATTTTGGATTGGCTTAGGCTGTTCGTAGAATGGCCTCCATTCTTACCAGTTATTAGCTGGAAAATAAAAATAGATTGAATGAATGTTGGAATAAACAAATAATGGAATACTAGAGGCAATCAGATAAATAAATAAACAAACAAACAAACAAACAAATAAACAAACAAACACACAAACAAACACACACACACACAAATAAATAAATAAATCACATCTTTGGCAGTTAACCAAACCAATAACAATAGTGTATGCATGACTTGTTATACAGCACATGGCAAACCCATAGATGGCTGACAACCGCTAATCGTTATGGGAGTGTTTATTTCGTCTGCATTCACCAAAAACGTACACAAATCGGCGATATATCACGCCGAGGACCTTTATCCCAGCTCACAACACTAACTAGGTATACATACCCGTTAACATCCTTCCTATTTCCTGTTCAGAAGTACATTCAGTGACACGGTATATCGTCGGTTATCGCCACATGAGTCTCCTCTGTAGGCTACACCTCGCACAAAAGCTTCCGATGACGCCACGAACGGAATGGCGCCATCTGCTCGACCTCCGAACTCTAGAACTGGATATCCGCACACTGTGTATGCAAATTCAAGATCTCAGCTGAGCCCAGATGACGCACGGGGAACAAATAACACAATTTCTGAAATTTAAAACTACAGTTCAAACAAATCGGCTGTAATAATCCCGCTCATGTCACAACTGTGACCAGCAATTGTTGATATTTAATTTTTAAGCGTCGTGAATTTATTGTACTCAGAAGTCGTTTTTATCGTTCATACTATTTAAATATTTACACCGTGGATGTTTCTTTAATTCTGATTATGGATTAATTTAAGTCATATCGGTTCCACATAGAACGTCGTGATGATAGCAAATTGATCACCGGCTACAACGACAGTAACAGCATTTTTTTGCGAAAAGGGACTTCAAGATCATGCCCCATGAACGAGACAAACGAAAGTTACGAATTATGTAACTGTTCACATCGATATAAATTATATGAATGAATAAAAACCAATCTATCCGCCGCGGAAAATGACATTTAACCTGATCGGAAATATAATTAAAATCGGAATGTATATTGCACGAATATAGTATATTAATCCCCGAGCATAACGTGAACCACATTAAGTTAAAAGTTAAAACATATTTATTTTACTAAATATTACAATCTATAATAAATTAGTGATATGATGACTTATAATCGGTTATTAATAATAATAAATTTTCTAACATTTGGTAAAAATCACAGTGAAATTATTATGCGTTATGGATTATATCCCGTGAATTATCCGTGTTAGTGCGCCACCAACGTATGGGTAGACCCCGTTTGTAATTGACGTCAGGTCAGTGACCTAGTCGTCGGCATTGAATTCATTAGCCATCATTTCGAATAAATAGGCCTATACCATATACTTTAGAAACACTTATTTTGTCCGGTGATGGTTTGACAACTGGGATATATTATGTTATCGACTGAATCTCGTGCTAAACGCACGACTCTAACCTCCATAGATGTTTTAATTGGAAGAATATTGCCGAGATCCAACAAGCAATTAAAATCAGAAAAATATAATGCCACGTTTCGAAACGTTTATTGTACACAAATTAGGAGATATTCGTATGCAAATATTTCCATATAAACAGATTTCATGTTTATATAATTAAACAAATTAGTCAATGCTGGTTAGCATTAATATATAGTACCACAGTGCGCATCGCGGTGAAGACCCATGTATCACTATGCCCCCTGTTTTCAGAGTTACGTGGAACTTTGACTACTCATTTTGTTATGTAAATGACCTTATCACAGTGTGGTGATGTGTCATGCTCCGGGTAATCGATACTGCACCACAATGCTGTGGCTTTCGACAAAAGTTATTTCGGTCTGATTACTAGGAGCTGTATTTAGAGTTAGGCTTGTCAAACAAATAAACACTGATTTTAATATTGGCTGAACAGCTGTTCGAAAATGCCAATCATCTAACTCAAACATCATAGCCATACTAGCGCTAAGTATTTTTTTTATCAGTTATAAAACCTTCTTGTCATTAGAAATGTAAAATTATGTAACATTTTAAAAATATTATTATAAAAGTTTGCAATAAGCCTGAAGTATGTATTGCTTCTCAATGAGTATTAATCAATTTGAAGTAAAAAATGTACAATTTGATCAATTTGTTTCGACACTAAATCAGATGCACGATAAATTAGTAGACGTGACTCTGGTGACATGTGATTGAAGAAGCTTAGATACACGTGCCTAACAGTGTATTAAATACTGAACAACCAAACATCGTTAACCTATTTTATGTTTTATTGTATTGATGGAATCGTGTGAACACCACTGTTGTGATTAATATTAAAATGAAAAAAAAAGATTGCTCGGGTTTCCGAAATCAGGAAATTATCGTATGAAACACAAATAATTATAATATTTGCAAGCTATTATTACATTTGGGTCCAGCGTAGTTTCCATTAAAGTAAGTTTATTGATATGAATTTGTATTCGTTTGCATAATTGACACATTCATGGATATAAAAGATAAGTAACCGATGATTTGTCACCAACTCCCTTGATACACATGGTCACTATACGAGCCTAGAAAACACAATTGTTAAAAAAAGTTAGGCATAAAGAATTCAGATTTTATAATCCCTCATTAATGATGACATTATATACACCAAATATATTAATTACGCAATTAGGGTTTGACATCACGAATCAAAAAAATAAATTGTTGGTCCTATGCAATTTTGCATAAATCAGACGTTAGTTTTATATTACAATTATTAGCACTGACGCAATGAATACGTGATGCTTTTATTCATGTTAAACCGTACAGCTATGTATTTATCTAGTCTGTTACTAATACATTGCATCTCTGTTACATGTTGACACTTAATTAAACTATGTGATATATATATACTTATTCCTGTCATATAAATTCATCTCAGATTATGCCATGTTGTGCGTCATGAAGTGTTATGAGAATTTAAACAACACTTCGTTTATCTCTAATAAACAAACTCTATTAATTCGCTGCAAATACCAGCACAATTGCATGAAAATCGTGCATGGCAGATTATGAAAATATGGCTACAATGTGCTACGTTGAAAACTAATACTATCCCGTAATCATCGCATAATGGATTGTCATCACATGAGGTTAAATGAAATAGGTCACATCGAATATTATCTGATTTTAATGTTATCCATTGATACATAGAGATTAAGGGTTTTGTGACGTAGGACATTTGATTGCTTTGTTTGGGGTTATGACCAAAGGAGTGACATCTTGAGTGAACTCATTGTGTGATCATCCGATCAAACAATTAAAATCACAATGACATTGGTTGCTAGTTAAGTATACATGGTTTGAAAAAGAGATTAGAACTTATATGCGAGTAAACTTTCGTACACCTCGCTCAGACAGCAATACCTCAAGTTGGAGAATACTGTGTTAGTTGACTAGACGGTCACAAACTCGACCATAGATAGTGTAATATCTAAAGGCGTAAGATATACCTAAAACAGTGAAAAGCACAAGTGAATCTACCTGGTGAGTGTAGGTTGTTTATAATATACTATTTCTATAGTCATTATATTGTGTTCCATCATTGACCAAACCAGTAAATTATATGGCGTCGCCGTCAGTGACAATTAATATGGTCAGTTAACTTGGGATTGGTCTATCCAAGCGAATGTGAGAAATGAAGTGAGGTACGTGTAAAGAGTGATAAGATGTTCTGTTTTTTGTAGTGAATAATGCCACACTATAGGGCAAAACACGGACGTTGAAACTTACTTTCTCAGCGGACACTCACCGGTGAAAGTTGCATAAATACGATTCTTTTGTTTTTGAGCGTATATACGGTTTACTGGTGTTCACTGTCGTTCACTGCAACGCTACTCCGTGCAATATAACAGTCATTATGTCATATTTGATGTATCAAAACTCATATACTGCCAATTTTTTATGTCATTGACAGATGTGAAAACCGGGTAAGAGAGTTGTTTTAAATCATGGGGATTCTGGGGCCAGTGACAAAAAACTGCTTTAGTGTACTGTGACAATGCCAGTTTATTTACTGATATTGACATCACTCCAAAAGAATACCAATAATAAACACCCACCAAAATGTATTAAAGCACATGTTGTTGCCCATATATGTTTATCATTGTTCATATAAGCTCAATTCTCTGTGTGCCACCACGCAGAACACTTCGGACGTGAAGTATAGTTGAGCGCTATTGTATTCACGTTGCTGAATAAAGATATTTGACTGTAGCCTCGTCCCTCATATTCAAAAACCTCGCATTTCTTATAACTGATAAAAAGAAAATATTCACATCACTTTGAGATATATACGCAAACGACTCTCAATTTTGGCAAGACAAATTCATACAGCGGAAATAACGTTCATTTACATATTCTTAATTGGATTGGATTTTTTTTCTGAATTTTGTCCCATAAAATGTCTTTGCATTTTTTCTCCTAAGAAATATACATAAATGTGGATTACTTCAATTGGGCGTGACGTGAATGTGCTAGCTGTAATATTTTAACTTAGACTGAGCAGTTATCCATTAATAATTTGACCTACAGAGTATCAGAGTATTGCCGTGATTATGAATGCAATTGCTTAAACAATTTATAACACTTTAAAATAACCTGACGTGGTTATAGCTACTCAAAAGTTTATATAAATTTAGAAACAAGAAAAGTTTAATAAGATACATTTGCCAATCACACTATAGATTAGTAAACGTGACCCTGGAAACATGTTGTGACGCAAAATGTATATATAGCAATAAATTACGAACATTTAATCATCGTTAAAGATTTTATGAGTTTGTTCGT